CCTCGGCCATTATATATATATATATATATATATATATATATATATATATATATATATATATATATATATATATATATATATATATATATATATATATATATATATAATATTTAGTTTTATTACAATATTTCTAGATAAAAACTCACGCACCGACCCACTAGAAAACCGAGCCAAAGCTGTTAATCACATAAAAAATACGCCTAGAAAGTCTTTACTGGTAATTTGAAGGAAAATGTTTTCCGCTTTGTCTTAAAATAATAAGTTATGTTCTATTCTGTTCACCCTTTTCAACAGCCATATTTCAGTGATCACGGCGAAAGAGAACCAATAAGCTTTTTTTTATATATATGTTTTTTTTCCTTTAATTTTTTGTTCTTTAATCATTACTTTTTCGTAATATATAATAAAAATTGTTTATAGGGTATAATAAAATAATAAATATCCACAATATTGTGTTATACAAAAATATATAAAATAATACTGTAGAGCTGTTGAGTATTGAATATTGCATTATAAAGAACTCGGAAAACTTCTAATAAAACTTCGAATAACTATTTAACTATTTAGAGACAACGTTCTTCAAGTTTTATTCATCACAAAGTTCATTATTTGTACACGAAAATTAATAAATTAATCAAAAGTATTAAAAAAAGTTGATTTCCTTCTGGACAAAACAAGTGCAACTCCACAAAATATTGACCAAGCTGTATTTCGCTATCAATATTTTGTGGCGAATCCTTTGTTGTCAATCACAGCCTTGCATCTTCGAGGCATAGATTCGATCAGGTGATCAATGAAACTTTGTGGAATCGCTGCCCAGGCCTTTTGTATTTGTTTAAACAGTTGATCCTTATTACGAACACCTTCACGATTAATTCTGCGGTTGACGATCTCCCACAGGTTCTCGATAGGGTTGAGATCCGGAGATTGAGGCGGCCAATCCATTACCGATAGGTGGTTGTCTTGAAACAACTGCTTAACAACTTTTGCAGTGCGTTTCGGATTGTTGTCTTGCTGAAAAACCCATTTTATTGGCATATTCCATTCAGCATGAGGTAACATAACATCTTTCAGGATATTTTTATACATGAAACAGTCCATTATTCCATCGTTTCGATGTATCGGACCTAGACCGTTAGCAGAAAAACACCCCCAGACCATTATATAGCCTCCACCATGCTTCACGGTCTTATGGCAGTTACGTAAATCGAGGCGTTTTCCGGCCGGTCGACATACACGGCAAATGCTATCGCTCCAATGATGTTGAACTTCGATTCATCACTGAACAGGACAGTTTGCCATTTCTTTTGAAAGACAGACTTACCGCCGAAATACAGATTTACCGCCGTCACTTGACTACTTCATTGTAATTTTGAAAAAGACTGAATACCATATAAAATTATTAATAACTTCAAAAGATAATAAAAGCAATAAAATTGTAGTTAAATTTGAGATATAAATTAAATATATTATCAAACGTAAACGCAGTCGATGTTAAGAATTTAAGTCTATTTTGAATTTTGTATTTTTATTACTTCAATGTTATATAATGCATATTAAGTCTAAGTATATGCAATATTTTTAGAGTGCATTAATGTTTCATAATGATACAAATTTAACTTTCTGTTAAACATTTTTTGTAAATTAAAATTATTTCAATACAATAATTTGACATATTGCATCAGAATTAAAATTTAGAATTATAAATAGAATTAAAAATAGTTATCTCCACCTCCCTTGTTTAAAGAAAGCCATTGAAGTTTTAAACCTTGTTTAAAGAAAGTCATTAAATTTTTTAAATCAGAAGTTTAAATTAAATTAAGAAGTTTCATTTTCCAAGCATTAAATAAGCTCTAAATAATTTAAATATAAGTTAAGTGTAAATCATAAGTACCCACAGTTTTCCACCAGTACCCACAGTTTTCCACCGGTACCCACAGTTTTCCATTGGTTAACATATTAATTTTGAGTTAAAGTACATTTTTATTTAGACTTAAAAATCTAAATTGGAAGTAAACAAAAAACTAAATTTCAAGAAGATATCTTTTAAAACAAATTCATATAAATGAGATTCAAAAAGAGTATCGGATTAGTTGTACCAAAGGTACCAAACTGTTGTTTTAAGTTTAAGTCTCATTCACGTATTATTAACATTTTGAGTGTGAATTTGATTGCATTGAGGATCTACAAAACGCCATTCATGGATTATGACTTTATGAAGATAGATAATAGGTAAACGATTAACGATTAATCTTTCTTGAACATTAAAACAAACATTTTCCAATACGAGAAATAGAAGTTAAAACAAAATATTTAAAATGCCCTTGGATTACACGCGGAATAAGAAAATCTTCAAAATAAAAAGCAAAAATTATACATCAAATATTTAAAAAACAGAAACGAAGCTAATCTTAATGCCTATAAAGAATATAAAAATCTGTTTGAAAAAATAAAAAATAAATCCAAAAAAAGATATTATTCTGAACAATTAAAAAATAATAATGGTGGCATAAAGAAAACCTGGGAAGTTATGAAAAAAATCATTGGTAAAAATAAAATAGTTTCTGACATTTTACCCTCCAGAATAACGGAAAACGATATTGAATACAAAAACAAAAAAGATATATCAGAAATATTCAATCATTTTATTGTAAACACTGGTCTAAACCTGGCATCTAAAATAAAAGGCTCAGAAAAATTGTTTCAAAACTATTTTAGTGACTTTGAGAGTTCATTGCCAGAGAATGATCAAACTTTTGATGAACTAGAAACAGCAATCAAATCAATCAAAAAGAATAAGGCCCCAGGTATTGACAACATCTCTGGCAATGTTGTACTTTATGTTTTTTCTGCCATAAAAAAGCTTTTTTTTATATCTTCAGCTCTTCAATCAAAAACGGGGTTGTTCCAGACAAATTAAAAATAGAACTGTACCATTAGTTAAAAGTGGAGATACATCAGCGATTAGCAATTATAGGCCAATCTCAGTTTTCCTTATATTTTCTAAACTCCTTGAAAAAATAATTTACAACAAACTGTATAAATATTTAATAGAACACAAAATCTTAAGTGAAACTCATTACGGGTTTCAAAAACAACATTCAACCAAACACTACCACTTCCTTTAATGATGAGAAATTTGTATTGGGAATCTTTATTGATCTTACAAAGGCGTTTGACACAGTAGACCACGCAATACTACTGTGTCAACGCCTTTGTAAGATAAAAATATGACATAAAAAATCAAACTATAAAATGGTTTGCCAACTACCTAGACAACAGACAACAATGTGTTACCATAGATCACTATAACAACTCAAAACAACTAAAAATT